GGACTTGGAGATGGCAGTCATAGAAAATAGAGTGGTTGCTGTTGAAACTGCCCCTAGTCATAAAAAAGAGAACTGTGATACACAGCATCAACAGGCTTAAGAGCGCTGGCAGTTAAAGACTGCACAAATTTTTTTGAATACAATATTAAACCCAGTATTTAGTTTCCTCATCAGTTCCACAACACAAGTAATAAAATCTCAAATTTCATCTAAGAAGATACTGAAGTACTAATAACATCAGTTACTGTCATGTAGTGAGAGCATTTTCCATCCCGGATGTGGTAACACGGATGTAGGTAGTGATAACAATGGAAAATCAAAATATCTGAATCACATTAAAACTATCTAATAAATATAATGCTGTGCTCATTCCTGAAGCAGCAAGAAGAAGAAGAACAAAAACTGTATGATTTGAAGGCACATAAAAACTCATTCAAACTCTGCAAGCATTGTCTGAATTTTCAAAATAAATGATGAATGAGTTTTAAAGCATAAAACAGTGTTTAAGTAAACTATATTTTGTCCTTAGTTTGAAATGATTGCCTGGACACAGTGATTCTAAAGCAAATATCACAACATTTTAGCCACTATTAGTGAAAAAAGTCTGATTTTAATGTCTTTTAATGTGTTTGTGTTCAGCCAGATTTCTGGGGATTGGGAAACTCTGTGTTCAGATGCTCACCTTGTAACTGTGATATTGGCGGAGCTCACGGCAGCACGTATGTTTTCTTTCTGTCTTTATTTTGTGTGAAACATAATAAAAAGTATTGAATAAAGATCAACAGTCAGTTTGATCTGAATCACAGGTTAGTTTGAGAAAGAAGAAAAATTAACAGGAAGCACCAACTGAATACCAGTAAAATAATCAGAAAAAACAGTTTATTACCTTATAGGTATGGCACGCTGTTGTGAGCTGGAAATTCATCATAAAAGCAGTAATTAGACTCTTAATAACTGACACCATAGAGCCTCCAGTGTGTCACTTCCTGTCTTTTGGGGGGATTTCCTGTCCCGTCAGGTGTTCTCCAGAGGATGGACAGTGTCGCTGTTTACCCAACATGATTGGTCGGCGATGCTCTGACCCTGCACCTGGGTACTTCTTGCCTGCACTGAATTATTTCCTCTATGAGGCTGAACTCACTTTCCCACTGCTAGGAGGAAGGTCTTCTACAATTCCTCCTCCATCGCCTTCTTCTTCTGCTGATCCATCATCTTCTTCTCGGGTGTGTAACAGATGACAAGCCACCTGACACAGAGCTTGGAAAGAAAGTGAATGGAGTTCTTTAAGATAGATAGATAGATGCAGCATTTTGTGAGAAAAGTTGCGAGACATGTAAAGAAGGTAACTAAAAGGAGTATTCAACTGACAATTCTATGTCAACTATTGCAGATGATTTTAAATAAATTTTTAATATCTTGTAGATTTTAGTACAACATGGCGGTGCACATAGTCGCAGTTGTTTAAGGGCCCCCAATTAGGTGATCTTCTTTTTCTTTTTGTTCCCTTTTCTTTTTCTTTTGTTTCCCTTATTGTGTAGCCAAATTCACCTTAAGTCATTGGGAATTATACAACATCAGTTATGACAGCCAGAACCCCGTTACCAGCGATTATCAGTGGATCAACAACATCCCAGAGAACTGCCTGCGGTGCTAATAACAGCAGTCTACATATCACCAGACGCTAATGCTAGCACAGCCCTTGCCTACCTGAACGACACGATCTCCGAACAGCTACGGACATATCCAGAGGAAGTACACATCATCGCAGGGGACTTTAACAAAGCATGCTTAAAAACTGTGCTGCCTAAATTTGTACAATATGTGAAATGCCACATGAGAGGGAATAACACCTTGGGCCATGTTTACTCAAATATTAAGCAAGCCTACAGATCTGTTCCCCTCCCCCACCTGAGTATGCCCGACCACCTCTCCCTGCTCGTTGTCGCGGCATACACACCACTCAGGAAAAGGACAAAGCCCACCATCAGAAACATTAACACCTTTTCTAAGGAAGCTCTGGCTCAGCTGCAGGACTCTTTTGCCCTCACAGAGTGGCATGTCTTCGAACATGGCGACCTATAGACCCACACATCTGCAGTGGTGAGTTATGCACTGCATGGACACTGTCACCACGGAAAAGTAGGTCCAGGTCAGCCCCAACTGTGAAACCTGGATGACGAGTAAAGTTCAGGAATTGTTAAAAGCACACAACTCTGCATACAAATCTGGGGAGCACGATATGTATATCAGAGAAAGAGCAGACCTTAAAAAAGGCATCAGAGCAGCAAAACCGGACTATTCAAATAAACTATCGGATCACCTCTCAGACAACAACTCCAAGAAGGTATGGGAGGGCCTGAAACACATCACCAACTACAAAGGCAATGGGACAAATACGGATAACATGGACATCTCATTAGCAGAGGAACTTAACCACTTCTTTAGCCGCTTTGAGAGAACTGTAGACACACCTACCATGCACACCGCTCTGCCACAGCCTTCTCTGAGCACAGCCCTCACACATTTACTCTTCAAGAAAACTAGGTTTGCAGAGCAGTACCAGAGAAAAGCTGCTGGCCGAGATGGAATACCTGGGAGTATCTTCAAAGCCTGTGCCGACCAGCTGGCTCCTGTTTTCACCAGACTATTGGACCTCTCCCTGTCACATGCCACTGCCCCTCATTGCCTGAAATCAGCAACAATAGTTCCGAGTCCACCACCATCAGTGCTCCAGTGGTCGCAAAGTTCTTCAAGAAGCTGGTCTTAAAGCACATAAAGGACTGCATCACACCTAGTTTGGACCCCAACCAGGGTCGGCAACCCTGGGCACGCGTGCCACAGCTGGCAAGCTAAGGGTTAACTGATGGCACAACCATAGCTGGACTGGCCATCGGGCATATCGGGCATTTGCCCGGTGGGCCAATAGTGAATTTTGTTTTTATGGGCCAATGTTTTTTTGTTTGTTTTAGTTTTTGTAACGGTATAAACAATGAAAGGTGGTGTATTGGCCAGGTGCTGGCCAATGTGTAAAAATAGCTCAGTTGAAGTTATGAACTGTTTCTGACAGAGAAATAACACCAGGATACTTTTCTAAGCACCTGACACCTGGTAACTGTGCAGGGGCATGTCTAGCAAAGTTTTGCCAGGAGGCCAGGCAGGGCATTAACAGGGAAAGGGGACACATACTTTTCTTTCTTATTCTCATTAAAAATGCCTCGCTTTAAGTTTTTATCTGATGTAAAATGTATAGAAATCATACCAACAAGACGGTGTACATCACTGTCACAACAGTGTTTATTTTCATTAAAAGGCTTTATGATTTTCCCTGCAATACCTGGGGGGCTGGTCTGTAGTCAAAATGCCCAGGCTGATTTTTATTTGTCCCAGTCCAGCCCTGGGCACGACATGCAGTGAATTAATCTGAGAAGGTGCATTAAAAAATAAATGGCCGGGCCAGTGGTACACATTGCAAATTAACTAGCATAGACACATTAGTTGTGTCGCTTCTTAATGACGGTAACTTGGCTAACAACCCCAACTACCAGGTTCAACGTGTAATTGGCTAAAAATAACTTCGCCTACCAGTGAGAGGGATGTTGCTAGCTGGCAGTTTTTTCAAGCGATGTTGAAATTTCTACATTCCAACACTTCGAATGCTTCAGGAGCTCGACTCTGTGAGGGTCAAAGTTTGCAGAACTACGAACGCAGCGGAAATCCATAGCTGTGCATGTTCATGGAGCTTTTTCACCTGCTGGACATCACTCCCAGTCAAGTTTTACTGTCTTCAGTGTTACGGCCGAGCGGGCCAGGCTGTGGGTGTGGACTCAAATGCAGATACAGAGGGAAGAAAAACGGGCGTGAACACAGTGCTTTATTTGCTGTGCCTAGTGAACTTAAAAAGCAGGAAACTATGAATGGTATGAACTGTGGAAGCTATGAACTGAGAACTGTGAGGCCAAACTGTGAATATGAAACTCGGAGTGCTATGACTAGGTGCTAGATTTCACGGATGGATCCGGGGAATGGGAAAAAGGGGCAGCGGCTTGGATGGAGGTACGCAGTCACTATAATGAGAGGAGACAAGTTGTCAGTGGCAGTCTAGTGAATCACAGCTGAAGGATTAGACTATGGTGGTTAGGGCTTACGCGTTGCAGGTTTAAAGTGTCATGCGAGGAGGGGGTGTCCAGAGAGGATCCAGAATATGCTTGGAGTGAGGGGCTTGGCAGGGAGGCAGGCAGGTGTAGTCCGATGATGGAAAGGAAGCAACCAGATGACAGAACCAGCGTCCAGGCAGAGATGTGAGTAGTCTAGGTTGGGAAGCGCGACTGCCAGGTGGGTCCTATGACAAAGAAAACACGGTGAGGAGAAAAGCAGTAGTTAAGGGTTCTCACAAGGGCTTGGCGGCCTAGCACTAACATGAGTTAGCAGAAGATCTGGCAGAGGTCTGTTGTGAATGCTGGTCTTATATGCTGGTGACTTGATTGGAACCAGGTGTGGAAGCTGATTGGAGTCTCTGCCTGAAGGTGGAGCCCAGCGGAGTGGAAAAACCCCGTACTCACCTGGACCATGACATTCAGAACATTGCAGAGGCCTTATTGACAGTATTTGGCTCTACATATCTGTGTGAGCAGATTTTCTCTCACACAAAAAGTGTCGTGAGGTAGCCATCTGAATGGTGGACACTCATAGACCTGTGTCGCTGATTGGAAGACCAGAGATCACATTAACATGTTTATCCCTGTATTAACAAACATGCCATATTGGCCCAGTTTATTTCTCTTATCATTGTTGTGAGGAGACCATAAATAGCATTTATATTTTCTTTTGTACAGTTCATTTGCTGTTACTTTTTATCCATAACAAGAACTCTGTATCTTTTTTTGTTTCAAAATAGCTGATAACTATTCGCTGATAGCTGCCAACATCTGCGAACAAATACTGTATAATTCTATTAAGTTGTTCTATATAGTGTGTAACTGTCAATATAGAGCATTGTTAAATTTATTGCTAATGCAATCATACAGCACACTGACTTCTGAGGACATTTTAGATGGCACTCATCATCTGAAAGGTTGCCGACCCCTGCTATAAGGCAAACAGGTCCACTGAGAAAGCAATTTCCACTGCCCTCCACTCTGCTCTGCATAACCTGGAGAATGCTGGGACTTCAGTAAGGATGCTCATCATTGATTTCAGCTCAGCCTTTAATAGCATCATCCCAGACATTCTTATAGTCAAGCTGGTAAACTTAGACTTCCCCCTTGCTACATGTGCATGGTTCAAAAACGTTCTCACAGACCAATCACAAAGAGTCAAGGTGGGCAACCAGAGATCATCCACCCAGCACTGGCTCACCACAAGGATGTGTGTTGTGTCCACTCCTATACACCATCTATACCAGTGACTGCACCCTCACACATCCCTGCAACATCATCATCAAATTTGCAGATGACTCCACTCTGATGGGGCTCATCACCGATGATGACGACACCGCCTACAGAGATGAGATCCAATGTCTGACAGAATGGTGTGACTACAATAACCTAACCATAAACACCAGGAAAACCAAGTAAATGGTCATGGACTTCTGCAAGAAAAAAAACTCATCCCCCTCCCCTATCCATAAAAGGTGACCACATTTCCGAGGACCTATACTGGACAACTAACACATCAGCCCTGGTGAAGAAATGCATGATGCAACCATACTGTCCCAATGCAATGTGTGCACACGTGTGTATGTGTGCACAAGTCTATGTTTGTGATCGGGAATGAAGGATAAAAAGCGCTGCCGTAAAGGCTGGTGTAGAAGCACAGAAATGATGGCTCACTTGACCGCGGTCTGAATTTTAATTGAATTAAAGAAGTCCAGTTGCTTTCATTCCAAGCTCCTTAGGCTACCATGACCTGAATGACTTAGAACCTACACAGCTATAGTTCAGTATTAACATGTGTTTATAGGTAAAATTGTCTTTTTACAGTGCATTCAGCAAAGTATTCACAGCATTTTGTTCGTTCTACATTGTGTAATGATACAGCCTCAGTCTAAAATTCATTGCATTCATTTTTTTCAACTCATAATTCTACGCACAATACCCCATAGTAGCAAAGTAAAAAAGGTTTACTCGAAATTATTGCAAATTTATTAAAAATTAAAAAAAATTATATCATGTACATAAATATTCATAACCTTTCCTCAATTCTTTGTTTAAGCATGTTTGGCTGCAATGGCACCTTCAAGTCCTGTTGAGTACAATGCTACAAGCTTGGCACACCTGTTTTTCTGCAGTTTGTCCCATTCTTCTTTCCTAGACTATTTAAAAGTGGAATGAGAGGCAGAGTGTTGCGACTTTCATCCGTAAATAAAGCTGCAGCCGGCTGAGTTGGTTGTGTCCCTGTGACGCGCCTCCAATAATCCATAGTGAGTCATACTAGTACTTTGCGCATTTATTTTAAGAACAAAACAAGAACAAACATTTGTGCTTTCAATCAATTTCCAACTAGCGCATGGATTAACTGGTGTGCCAAAAAATGACGGTCAACAGAAAAGTTTGCCCACAAACCACTCACCCAACACACCTGCTGCGAACACCGACATCAGGTAAATAGACTGTGACCACACCCACATACCATCACCTGAGACGCAGGTAAAGCTATACACCTGTGCCACCAAAACAAAAAGGAAAAACATAAACATTGACTTTGGCTCTTACACAGAGCCTTCAGTTTTCAAGCCCCTCTTCTGTGGAACCAACTTCCAGGTTGGATTCAGAAGACAGTGCTGTGGAGCAGGCAGGATAAGGTTCCCAAATGCAGGACTCAGAAATGGAAAGTTAAACTCAGAGCACAGATTTATTGCTGGGAAAACTCTTCATAGAAATGAACTCAATCAGAAACACGGAAATAGACACTAAAGTGTGCAATGGAACCTAAAACAAGAAAAAAGGAAATGAACCAGAACTAAAAGCAAGTCTGAGCTCTGTCTGGACAGCACCTTTCTTATCTTAGCTGTGTGCTTAGAGTTGTTGCACTGTTGGAAGATAAACCTTCGTCCCAGTCTGAGGTCCAGAGTGTTCTGGAGCAGGTTAGGATTTCAAGGATATCACTATACATTGCAGCATTTATCTTTCCTTCAACAATTACTAGTCTCCCAGTTCCTCCTTCTGAAAGTCATCCCCATAGCATGATTCTATATCACCGTGATTCCCTGTAGCAATGGTGTTGAGCATATAATGCGCCGTGGCTGGTTTCTTCTAGACGCGATGCTTGGCAGTCAGGCCAAAAAGCTCAATCTTCATTTCCTCAGACCAAAGAATTTTGTTACTCATGGTCTGAGAGTCCTTGGTATGCTGTTTAGCAAACTCTTGATCCTTTTACTGAGGAATCTCTTCCATCTGGCCACGCTACCATACAGGTCTGATTGGTGGAGTGCTGCAAAAATGGCTGTCTTTCTGGAAGGTTCTCGTCTCTCCACAAAGCAACCATGGAGCTCTGTTAGATTGAGCATTAGGTTCTTGGTGACCTCTATAAGTAAGGACTTCTAGCCCATTCCTTCAGCTCCCTAACTGTTTGCTGAGCAGCCAGGTTTAGGAAGAGTAATAGTGGTTCTAAACGTCTATTTATGAATAATGCAGGCCGCTGTGCTCATTTGGGATCTTTAGAAATGTTTCTGTTCCAGATCCGTGCCTCAATACAGTCCAGGCTCAAAGGTCTACAAACAATTCCTCCTTATAGCTACATGTTATTTGTTTGTATTTTAATTTTTAATAAATTTGCAAGACTTTAAGGGAAACTCATTTTACTTTGTCATTATAGGGTATTCTGTGTAAAAATTTGAGGTGAAAAATGATTTTAATCCATTTTGGAATAAGGCTCTAATATATGGGCAGAAATCTGTGCCATCAGAAACTGAATTTGAATGAGTTCAATTTGAATTTGAATTGCTCAGATTGAATCTGAATTGTAACTTGAATAAATGCTTTTGAAAACTGAATTTGAATTAGTCTAATTTGAAATTGAATTTATGGTTTGAAAATGAATTGATTTGCTTTGAAACTGCATTTTATCCTTTAAAAATTCAGCTCTCGAATAATTTCAGATTCACTTCTCACCATTCAGTTTCAGTTCTACAATTCAATTTCAGTTCCAAAATTCCGTTTTTTGGGACTTACATCCGGTTCCGGTTCAAGCGCCGATTAATAGAACTACGTTTTACTGGCGGACCGAAAGTGTTACTGACGGGAATCTACAGCGTCTTGAGCTGAATTAAGACTTCAGAAGTCATTCGTCATGTCGAATGACCAGCGGATGAACTCTCAGGTTGGTAATAAATGTATTACATGTATAAGAACAAGCGTCATGTTAACAAATGATAGCCGTAAGGTAACTTTTATGCTTATTGTAGCTGCTAGCTAAAAACGCTAATTTAGCGTAGTTTGCCCTGGATTCAGCTTTGAAAAACAAATATGATCGACTGTTTCTAGTAGAATTCCAAAGTTGTCATCTTGGACCCTCTCAGAGTACCCCCTCTGTATGCTTGCAGAGACCCCTACAGTAGGGAAACATGCAAAACAGTGTCCAAACCTTTGTATTTTAGCTTTATTTATGTCTTACACGGCATCCCAACTCTTTAGCTAACTTAATAACTTTAGCTAACGTGAATAGTTAGTCTAATTCATTAGTGCAGCATTACTGGATCACCTCTGTTTGAAGTGATATAATATGATATACAACTATCACTGAAACAAGCAAACTTTGTAAATAAGCAAACACCACTTCTCATTCTCTAAACGTTTGGCCACAGTTGTAGATTACACTATCAGTGCTTGTTCACTCTTGACAATAATAACATTTCTAAATTTACTTTGTGCATTTACAGGTAAACAATATCTAATATTTTATCTAAATGACTGCTTTGTCTTTGAAAAGGGTGAAGAGCCTGAGGCCGGTGACAGTCCAGTTCTACTCTAAGTACATCCTTATAGTGGCTCACAGGACAAGGCCACATTCCTGTCCTGCCAGAAGAGAAGAGAAACTTCAGAGTCTTCATGCAGTTCAACCACACCTGTCATATTCCATATGACAGGGGTCTCAAACTTCAGTCCCCAAGGGCCAGTGTCATGCAACTTTTCCATGCCCTCGAGGACTGGAGTTTGAGACCCCTGTGGTTCATGCTGTTTTCTACCCCACAGTTACAGCATGTCTGACTGCCTGTTCAGCATATGCAAAAATATGAGTTTAAGCATGTGATGACTAAGGCCTTCCATTATGGTGTTTGTCATCACATGTCACAGACATCTGGATGATCATTTGGAATAAACAAGAAACTAAAAACTTGTTACTTTATCTTTTATCTTTATTAATATTATTATTTTACACTTTTCATTGTTAGGCATTAGGTTTATTTGTAGTAGTCCTTTCCAACGTCTTTCCCTCTTCCATGTTACTGTGGCAGCTTGTCAGCATCTATTTGGGGTTGGGAGTGGAACAAAAAGTAAGGAAATCCAAAGTGCCATTAAAACCAGGAGAGGTTCTTATATTTCAGAAGGAGGGATTAATTCAAAAGAAATGACCTCAATGCCATATTTTATTTAGGAACCCTAGAGAGCACTTTGCAAAATAACACATTCTTATAATTTCACCCTCAGATGAGCCAAGCTATGACTGTCAGGGAAGGTGATGTAGGTACAGAGCATATGAGAGTGGTGAAGTTTGTCTCTTGTCTAGATGAAGGCACAAGAGGGATCAATGGCAAGGCGCAGAGATTCAGTATCTTGAGTCTTCAGTGGACACTCCATTTCTGGCACAAAACACCTGTAAAAGATGGTCGATTTAGGAGGTGACCCGACAACTTCAGCCTGTCAAACATAGTAATGGAGCAGTATGCTTTAAAAAAAAATCTAATTAAGTATGCACTCAGTACCCTAAGAATTATTATGGTAGTTAAACACAGTGATAGTTGTATATCATATTATATCACTTCAAACAGAGATGATCCAGTAATGCTGCACTAATGAATTAGACTAACTATTCACGTTAGCTAAAGTTATTAAGTTAGCTAAAGAGTTGGGATGCCGTGTAAGACATAAATAAAGCTAAAATACAAAGGTTTGGACACTGTTTTGCATGTTTCCCTACTGTAGGGGTCTCTGCAAGCATACATAGGGGGTACTCTGAGAGGGTCCAAGATGACAACTTTGGAATTCTACTAGAAACAGTCGATCATATTTGTTTGTCAAAGCTGAATTCAGGGCAAACTACGCTAAATTAGCGTTTTTAGCTAGCAGCTACAATAAGCATAAAAGTTACCTTACGGCTATCATTTGTTAACATGACGCTTGTTCTTATACATGTAATACATTTATTACCAACCTGAGAGTTTATCCGCTGGTCATTCGACATGACGAATGACTTCTGAAGTCTTAATTCAGCTCAAGACGCTGTAGATTCCCGTCAGTAACACTTTCGGTCCGCTAGTAAAACGTAGTTCTATTGATCTGCGCTTGAACCGGAACCGGATGTAAGTTCCAAAAAACTGAATTTTGGAACTGAAATTGAATTGTAGAACTGAAACTGAATGGTGAGAAGTGAATCTGAAATTATTCGAGAGCTGAATTTTTAAAGGATAAAATGCAGTTTCAAAGCAAATCAATTCATTTTCAAACCATAAATTCAATTTCAAATTAGACTAATTCAAATTCAGTTTTCAAAAGCATTTATTCAAGTTACAATTCAGATTCAATCTGAGCAATTCAAATTCAAATTGAACTCATTCAAATTCAGTTTCTGATGGCACAGATTTCTGCCCATACTAATATGACAAAATGTGGAACAAGTGAAGCACTGTGAATGCTGTCCACTTGCACTATATAAACAGTATCTGCGTGTGTGTTTTCAGCTGAACCCACGAGTGTTACCTCAGTGTGAGCAGTACTTCAAAGAGCAAGGTTTTGACACCAAGTTCCAAAATGGACGAGTTATTTTAGTTCGGCGGGCTCGCCAACTTGCCCAGCAACAGAAAATGAGAAAGAGATTGGTGAGATCCATTTTCTGTTACACTTTAATGCTTTGATTATTTGGAGACTATAGGTTGTGTCCAAATTCAGGGGCTGCATTCTTCAAAGGCAACGAAGGCCAGAAGTGCAAGGCTGTGAACTTGGACGGTCTAGCCTACAACATGGGGTTCCTGTTGCCTGGCAACCATGACAGTCGCAGCTACTGCTGTGGTGGTCAGCATGTTCAACAGAAATACAGAAAATCTGTATGTTGTTTTTTCATCTACATGTGAATCTGGGTACTGAGTCCCCTTAACCAACAATGAATCTAAGTTTAGCTAGTTTGCTAGAGTAGAGCATGAGACTAGTCTCATTTCATTTTGACAGTACAAATATAATAGGTCTCATCAAGCATTTGGTAACTTGCAGGATGAAAGCACAATTTTCTTATTAGAATCATGGGACGTACTTTCATTTTAATCAGAGAGAAAAAAAAACCTAAGAGAAATGGGAAACAGGACATAAGCTCAGGCGGTAGAGCAGGTCATCTACTAATCGGAAGGTTGGTGGTTTGATTCCTGGCTTCCCCTAGTCCGCATGCCAAATATCTTGGGCAAGATACTAACCCTAAATTGCTCTCCGATGCATCCATTGGAGTGTGAATGTTAATTAGAAAGCACTAAGAAAATATGTGAATGCACAAGTTGTGTAAAGCGCTTTGAGTGCTCAGAAGAATAGAAAAGCGCTATATAGGAACCAGTCCAGTCCATAAGATCGGCATAAATGTTGGGCTTTATAACAAAGGTTCAGGTTATAACTAACCAAAGTTTGCATGACCCGATTAAGTAGCAATATCACTAACGTCATGTAACTTAGATGAAGGTTAGCTAAGTTTGATGTTCTAAGATTCTTTGGTATGCTAACATTTGTTCCACTGGATATTTGGGTGAGATAAAAACCCAGTACTCACTTTTTTATTTCTGGACTGCTTTGCTACAACTGTTTGCCATGTTTTTTTTTTCCAAAAAATTGCTTGTACGTTAGACTCACAATGAATCCAGGATTCAAACACCATGTTAAAACATAAGATCGTCCATAAGTGCACAAAGTGCAGAAAGTTCTAGGCTGATCGTGGCTCAAGAGTTGGGCGTTCGCCTTGTAATCGGAAGGTTGCCGGTTCGAGCCCCGGCTTGGACAGTCTCGGTTGTTGTGTCCTTGGGCAAGACACTTGACCCGTTGCCTACTGGTGGTGGTCAGAGAGCCCGGTGGCGCCAGTGTCCGGCAGCCTCGCCTCTGTCAGTGCGCCCCAGGGTGGCTGTGGCTACAATGTAGCTTGCCATCACCAGTGTGTGAATGGGTGGATGACTGGATATGTAAAGCGCTTTGGGGTCCTTAGGGACTAGTAAAGCGCTATATAAATACAGGCCATTTACAGGCCATAGGTCGATGATCGATTTTGTAATCGTATCACCAGACCTGCGGCCATATGTTCTGGACCCTCGGGTAAAGAGAGGGGCTGAGCTGTTAACTGATCACCATCAGATCAGGTGGCTGGGGAGGACATTGGACAGACATGGCGCAGCTAAAGGTATAGTGAGGGTGTGCTGGGAATGCCTGGCAGAGGCCCCCAGTCCGCAAGACCTTAAACACACACCTCTGGCAGAGCTTCAACAGTTTTCCAAGAGAATCTGGGGGCACTGAGTCCAAATGGACCATGTTCAGCACCTCCACCGCCAAAGCTGCTGCACTGCGCTGCGGTTGGTGTCTGTCATGGTGGTAACACCTAAACCAAATGGTGGACACCAGTAGGGATGGGTATTGATAAGATTTTCATGTTTCCGATTCCATTTTCGAGTCTGTTTAACGATTCGATTCTTTATCGATTCTCTTATTGATTCTTATTTTTTAAAAAGGAGAACACTAAGGTTGATTAGCTTAGAACTTTGTTTTATATCTTCTCTAAGTAAGAGTAACATGGCCTTACAAACCCAAAAGTGAGATCTTAAGAGATCCACAGCCTATGGCTCTTCAATGGGTGTCACAGGGTCCCCAGGAAAAAAAATGTAATTGTAAAATAATAAAATAAATATTCTTCTGTAGCAATAACAAAGCATAACACAAATTATTCTGTAGCAATTACACAAGAATATCCAGTAATGTCCCTGCCTACAATTAAACACATACACTTACTGAAAATCATCTGCTGTGGCAAACAGCTGCAAGCCTTTGACCACAAACTGAGTCACTGCTCTGTGACATTTGTCTATCCTGGCCTGAAAGGAGACGCTACCGGTAGACTGCAGCGAGAACTGCCAGCATCTGAGCCAGCCAGACTTTGTCTCTCTCATCTTGGTCACCTAAATGCACAGTAATGGCAGGTTTTGTAATAAGGCACATCGTGCTAATATAATATGCACTGTTAGTTGATTATTTACCTGCCGCATTAACGGGAGAGGACGTGCAAACGTTACCTCTGCTGCTGGGTTGAGATTCACGAGTCCGGAGCAGAATTAAAAACACGACATTCATTTGAGGTTATTGCGTGTTTTGTGAGCAAATGCTTTTGCATATTCGTAGTGTTTACTCCCTTAAATGAAGTATCTACTTTACAAGTATTGCAAGTTGCCCTGTTGTCATCCGTTCTCCTAAAGTATAACCAAACTTTTGAGTGTTTGAGCCGCTTAGGCGCCATGTTACCCGCCAGGTAAATGACACTCTGCAACGTGGTGACGTCATTCGGGGCGACTGGAATCGATAAGGGAATCATTTGCAAAAATGCCAAACAATTCCAAGGAATTGAAACAGTGGGAACTGGTTCTCAACAAGAACCAGGTTTCGATACCCATCCTTAGACACCAGAGGTGAAGGGAGCCACCCGGCTGAAGAAGGAGTCCTATTGAAGGAGTCCTTGGTTCGCCTGTGGGACTTCGGAGGCAGCTGATATGTACTAGTGGTGCAACGGATCACGGTTGATCCGTAATCCGAACCGATCCCACTCCACGGTTTGACACCCACGTAATCCGAAGATTCGAAAAAGAAGGAAAAAAATTATGTGTATGGTGCGTCTGTCAAGCGATAGTTATGGCCAGCACTAGCGGTCCAGGTGGAAGAGCAGAAGAGTTTTCTGTATTTAAGCAGCCCTTTGCTGCCCAGTCCGATCGGGCTAAAGCTATTACAAAAGCTATTGGGGTGTTTAGCTGCAGACGGCAGGCCATATTCCGTTGTGCAAAACAAGGGGGTTAAACTATGATGAACGTGCTTGAGCCATGCTATGATAACATGATAAAAACCAGATAAAGGAGGAACAATGCGGTTTTCGTCCTAGTCGTGGAAAACTGGACCAGCTCTTTATCCTCTCAAGGATACATGAGGGTGCATGGGAGTTTGCCCAGCCAGTGTTTTGGCTGTGGGCATTCGACCGTGTCCCTTTTTCCGTGGGGTGTTCTTCAGGAGTATGGGGTGTTTGGCCCATTACTACAGGCCATTCAATCCTTATACAACCATTGGAAGAGCTTGGTTTGCATAGACGGTAATTAGTGGGACTCATTCCCAGTGGGTGATGGACTCCGCTAGGGCTGCCCTTTATCACAGATTCTGTTCAAAATTTTTATGGACAAAGTTTCTAGGTTTAGCCAAGGGGCAGAAGGCTTTCACCTGATGGTCTAAAAATCTCATCTCTGCTTTTCGCGGATGATGTGGTTCTATTGGCTTCATCAGGTGATCGTCTCCAGCTCACACTGGAATGATTCACAGCTGAGTGTGAAGTGGTGGTAATGAAAATCAGTACCTCCAAGTCTGAGGCCATGGTCCTCAGCCGGAAGGGTTGGGGTGCCCACTCCAGGTCAGGGATGAGTTACTACCCCAAGTGGAGGAGTTTAACTATCCTGTGGTCTTGTTCACAAGTGATGAACAAGTGGGCATCTTCCGAAGGGTGGCTGGCCTCTCCCTTAGAGAGGTTCAGCCATCTGGCAGGGGCTCAGAGTAGGGATGCTGCTCTTCCACATCGACAGGAGCCAGTCTAGATGGTTCAAGCATCTGACAAGAATGCCTCCTGGGCGCCTCCTGGGTGATGTTCCATCAGGAGGAAGCTCAGGGGCAGACCCAGGACACGCTGGAGAAATTGTATCTCTTGGCTGACTTGGGAATGCCTTGCTGTTCCCCCGGATAAGCTGGAAGAGATAGCTGGGGAGAGAGGTCTGGGCTTCTCTGGGACACAAAGGATACACCGGACTCTCTTCAAATCCGGGGAAAAGGAAGACGCATTAGTGGGCCGCATTTGGAGCAGCCTTTGGTGTGCTGTGATATAGTCGTCCCACAAATGTGGTCTCCAAAGGATGCAGCCCCTGAATTTGGAAACAGCTCAATTCATATGTTTCAACTAATCAGATCGTCCTCTTTCCTCAGTGCATCTGTTGTTTATTTCCATCCAGCAGCAAACCAGCATACCTCTGGTCCCTGGTTACACCCTGCAAATCATTCCCCGTCAAAGGGCATCTCACCAGCCAGTAACCTGGACTGGCCTAGGATTGGTCAGAGTGTTTGAGGGGGTGGGGCTTAGATTTACTGTGGACAACCTCCATTCTTCGACTGATTACCAGCTGGCGATTTCCTATGAACCGGAGGTGAGGCGATTTTGAATGGTAAACTTCATTTAAATGTACATGTTTAATAAAATTGACGGAATTGTCTTTCTATAACTCATGTCAATTTATTATTTTCTCTAGTCTGCATCTGATTGGATGGCTATAGTCAGTATCGGCAAAGTGTCACCAGGCGATGGTGGCTGCAGCAGCAATCCAACAGGAAGTAAAACTGTGATTCTACCTGGAAACTCCAGGTGAGAATAAAAAAACAGGGCATCTATCCATGAATGTCACATGACTATTGTTATAATTTCACATCTGAATAGTGTTGTGGCAGATTTCTGATGTGATATGATTAAATATGTGATTAAATCATATCCTTACTAGTAAGATTACTATACACCAACGACCACCTTAACTCAAAAACACAACTACAACTACTTCAGGCATGACAGCCTGATTCTTTAATCAGTTGTCATCTGCATTCATTCGCTGATCGCTCTTGGGTGGTACAGGGTCTGCTCTGCAGTCGCTGAGTTGGAGCTTGGCACACCCTTGTTGGAGGAGGGTGCTCTTTTCACCCTTCACTCTCTCGTTCCAATGCAGCTGTAGGTTAAAAGGGCAGAGATCATCTGACACCCTGTTGTCTTCCTCAGTGTCTAATGCAGAGATCTTTAACCTTTATGGTTATTTCTGTGGTTCTGGAATCTTCTCATGATGACTAGTAGGGCCCCAAACCGCACGACCTTTGATCTCAACCACTGCCTGGGCTGTCAGCTGTGCTATGAATGATCCCTGCTTCTCGCTGGGTCTCTGAAGACTTCTGATCAGCACCCAGTCTCAATCTCAGTCTGGAGATTCCACCCTTGGGATGATTTCTTCCAGCAATACTCTGGCTACTGCACCTGTATCTCCTTACTAGGAGGAAAAATTTCTAACCATTTGGAAAACATGTCAACCATCATCAAACCACATTTTCCTTTTAGTTCAATGAAGTTCAACCCTTATCTAGGGCTGTTCGATATAACAATATATATCGAATGACGATATAAAAACGTCTATCGTTTCATTTTACGCTATTGTTTGTTTCGTGGTGTCACAAAATAAACTGTTTACTTCAATATTTTTTCATCGTTTTCATGGTGGCTGTAGTGGCTATATTAATTTCTTAAAGTTTTCTCTTTCTCTTATATTTAATATAACTACACTACGGACGGACAAGCGCCTGCTTTTATGCGTTGTCATTAGCAACAACGACGGCAAAACCATTGCGTGTCCCCTGGTTTAGTTTCCACATTAACCTTTCACAATAAAGTTCAAGATCCTGTTGAGACTTTTCAAAATAAACTCAATCACGTGAAAGAGTATGCAGAGTATTTACGGATGAGAAGCCAAAAAGAGCCGTCAGGTGCTAAAAGACTCAACGTTACAACAGGCTTTTCCCCGCAGCACGATGGGTAATACTCACAAAGAAAACGGCGGCAATTACAACTTGTGTCTAAAAATGTATCGTTTCATGCATCGGTTAAAACACTCGACTCCAGGTACATGACGCCCACCTGGAAACACTTCACGCAAGTCAAGCTGCCCGAGATTCATAGAATATACAGAAAATATTAAATTATTGTGATTTATATCGTTATTGGGACGATAGATGTCTTATATCAGGATATGAGATTTTGGTCATATCGCACAGCCCTACCCTTATCTGAACATGTCTGTGCCCCATGTAGAGGTTTCATACCTATAAATGAACTGTTAATCCCACAAAAAGCCATGGAAAAATTATCATGAAAAAACTCAGAAAACATAGAGAACATTGTTTCATATTAAACCTGGATTCCCTCCTTTTGACACATGGTCTCTCCCATGAGTCAACTCATCAGAACTAGGAGAATAACAACACAAAAGGGTAGTTAGATCATTTCTCAGACAACATCAGGGCTTCTCCTCCTGAGTAATTTCGCTCCAGCCCTTTAAACCCTGTGTTAGAGAATAAAATTTGTATTAATGTCATGTTAAGTAGGTCTAATTCTTGGCTCTGCCTGGAGCCTGCATCCACACCACGATTACCCAGAAACCAAAATCAGTGAGTAAATACAAACTTCACACTTGCAAACAACTGTAGGTTATAAGAGTAATAAGGCATCCCACACCACAGACACAAGTGTGCCTTGCGCAGTTTATTTCCCCAAATCATTAAAAACACTACTGTTGCCATAATTTGCCAAATGTGTTTATTCAAAGCTACTGTAGCCAGTGACCTTTCTTAAGTAATGTCACTCACTTGTTTTAAACACTGTGGGCTCAACACCTTAAAATGAATAAAGATATGATAATGAGCCCCACACTAAGATGTTCTGTAATAACTGCAAAACCTGCTTCATTTCACTTATGTCTGCCTGTGTGATGCCAAAACCCTTAGAGAGGAAAAAAAAATTAGCCGGTGGTGTGTCCTCGCAGGTCGGGCCTAGATTAACAGATTCCAGAGGTGCTGCTGTAAATCATGTGGTCAACCCTCCTTTTCTGCGAAAGGAGTGATACTGATCTTAACACAGTATGTGTTTCACACTGAATATACATTTTCCCACTGTAACATTTAACATTTCCCAACACTACAATGTGGTACCATAACCGACAGGCAGCCAGTAAAACCACAGTTTCCTTCACACAAAAATCAGTAACACAGAAAAGTGCTATGTAAAGGATTAAGTCTGCAGGTTCCACACATATTAATGTGAACCCACAGGTCTCCCCCTCCTCTGGTCTCTGCCATCCTCCTGCTCCTGCAAAAACAAGAAAACAAAAAAAAACCCCACATACATCCACCCTTTTTTCACTGTTTGGGGTGGATTAGGCATTAGAAGTGACTAAGTGACATCATCAGTCCAGCCACAGTCCAGTCATATGCATTCATCTCAATCACATGCATTCATCCAGTCATATACATTCGTACAAATCATTGCTGATAGTGGAAAACTGCGCACGAATTTAAGTATCCATTGGCAGCAATATTACGTCATTCCAAAAATAAAAACAATTCTTTTTGCTTTTGAAATGAATTGAATCGCTACAATCCTTTTAAACACAGGACTTGCCATCTAATATGGTCCTAGGTAGGTGTATTTCTCCTAAGCCATTGTAATCTGGAGAATCTCACTTTGTATTTGCTCTCAGTAAAGTATTTTATAGCACTTTTACTTCCAATCTTGCTGCCTGCTTAAAGAGAGCTGATTATTAAATCATCAACACACAAAATATCACACCCAGAGGGGTGATACCTGGCAGGTTTTTTCCTAAGTGCACTGTTACAAAAATAAAACCCATATTGGGCCCAGTTTGTACGTGCAAAAAGAAAAAGAAAACAACCCAAACCTAACTGGCAGAATCAGTCTGGTACTAAAACAAAACCCCAAAATCTGCCAGAAAAATCACAGGAAACGTTTTGCCTTCAGGTGAAACAACATGCTGTAGGGATTAGAACCTGCCATGCAGTCACTGCTCCTGGCTTTACTTTAATTTATAACTGATGCTTACATGGTCTAAAATCAGACTTAAGAGTCACTGCCTTTGTTCATTTTCCCCACATCATATTTACTGGTTGCCCACAAGTGCTCCAGAATATCACACAATCCTGGAAAGTCTGGGGCCAACAAACATAGATCCACCTGCTAAATACACAGAGAAATCTCCCTCTTTTTTATTAGCAGCTGCACAGTTCACACAACACTAATGTTCACCATTAAACGCTTCCTAAACACTTCATATCAATGTTTTATCACTGGAATGTGAATTTCTTCCCCAGGTCACTCATTTGTCACTTTCACAGACCCAATCATTTCATTTAGCTTTTCTCCTTTTCTCCCCCTCCAAAAGTAAACGTGTAACATGTCATCATGTATTTCACAAAACAAGTTTGTTTTATGTATTCAGTGATGTGTATCTGGGTGCAAGTTTCACCCACACATCAGAAACAGGAAACTCAACCCTCTGCTACATCTTATTCACTTGTTTTATAATCCAGTCATCTTTCCCTGATCTAGTAACAAAAAATATTATCACAAAAGAGAATTTCCTTCATACAGTAAATTAATTGTGCTGCACCAATCAAGCAGAAAACATCTCACAATTTACTGTATCAACAACTAAATTTATTGTCTGATCACTGGTTGGTCAAACCAGAATCTTTTTTCCCTTCACAAAAGGTAAACTGTTGTCCTGCAACCCTAGAGAGTTAAATAATAAATAATTTCCCCAGGGATCAATAAAGTATTCTGATTCTGATTCTGATTCTGGTTAATTGTCAGCAGTGGATACACTCAGCATTTGATAACAAGTGTCTGTTAAATTTACACTATTTTAACACTGATGAGAGATAACAAGCTGATCTTCATTGCATGTGTGTGTGTGTGTTAGTAGGCAGGTTCAATGCATGTGTGTGCAGTGGAGCTGCAGATTCAGCAGGGCTTTGTCCTTAAAGCTGCTTTTCCTTCACATTTCTCTGTGTGCGTTTGTGTGCATTTTATTTTTACCTTTGTTGCAATCCTACGGACTCTTTCTCAACCTCCACAAGACAGTCGGCCACAGTTTCCCAACACAATTTTCATGTGCTCTCACATTAACAACAACGGCCTTCATTTTTCCTCCATGCTCCCACTTCTCACAGCTTCTGTCTTTCTCCTGCATCTGCAGCAGTTCATGGTTGTGGCGTGTCAGAGGCCAGTGGGCCGTTCTTCGGCTTTGCCTTTTGTCTTTCACTCTTTTCAGTCTCTTCCTTTGCCGTTTCAACTCCCAGTATGGCAAATGTGAAACTCAGACAGTCTTCTCAAGTCCATTCCCACACAGTGATGTCGCTGGTGAACCTCTCAGCTTGTGATTGGGAGCATATGCTTCCATCCACTATGGCATTCGTACATGCTGCTGAACCCTTTAAGGTTTAAGGTTTAGGGCAGTGCTGCGTTCTGTTCACCTTGTTGACTCTTGAAGTCGACGCCGTTGCTCTCGAACTGCATTTCGTCTTCAGGGAGAGATTGATTGTCTTCGAAGCATGTTCTTCAGGTTAAGATGTGCATAAAGTGAAGCTGTGAAATATTCAGCCAAAACATGGGCTGTATGCGGTTCCAATTACGTTGATCTATCATTTTACTCCGGCCGCTGTGCTTGTGGAGGGCGCTGATCCAGTTCCGTAGCAACCTGTACTAACACACTAAAACATTTATTTAATATCATTTTCATCACTGCTCATTAACACGTT